AGCATTACAAGTTGCCTAAGGAAGCGGTATGTTTGTGTGAAATAGAATATATGTAAGCATATCTATTTTAATATATGTTTTTTAAATTCATAAAATTGTTATTTCGTAACTTTTTAGCAAAGTAGACTAGAGCAGATTATTTGAAAGTGACCGTAAATCTGATGAAGATGCCAACTTCAAGATATTAACTTCAGAGCAAGAAAGAATGAAAAACGGAAACTAATAAGAACTCCAGATGTTCCTGAGTTTCCTATTTTAAGAGGTAAATAATTTTTCTTTAATCCATTTTTTCGCACTATTAGTAGTTTATAATATAATACATATATATATATATATATATATATATATATATATATATATATATATATATATATATATATATATATATATATATATATATATATATATATATATATATATATATATATATATATATATATAAATGTATATATATTGTTAATATATGATTTAGTATTAAAAATACTAAACTCTTGATCGTTGTAGAGTGCTCAATATTTAAGAAATATTTAGTTTTTCAAAAACAGAGCGTTTTATACTTAAATATAGAAAAAACATAAATGATTTTTATCATAATATGACATAAATGATTTTTATCTGTCAATTGATGAAAAAATACTTAATAACGCTACTACTTTTGCCGAACAACATATAATAATAGACGAGCAAAGCAAATCCATTATACGTCATGCAAGAAAATCTTTCATTTTTAACGGTGGCATATCATGGATTAAAAAAAAAGCAGGATTGTTTGATGTTACCATGGGAGCCTATGATGGCGCAGAAGTTTTTATTTTAGATCAACTTTCGCAGTTTTACAACAAAAATGGTTTTGGTCTATATCGGGATGACGGGTTATCTGTTTTCAAGAACAAAAATGGCCATCAAATGGAACAAATAAAAAAACATGTCGTTCAAGTTTTTAAACGTAACAATCTCAACATCTCTATCAATTGTAATCTTAAAGTTGTTAACTACCTTGATTTAACTTTTAATCTTACTCAAAATTCATTCCAACCATACTGCAAGCCTGATAATTAGCTAAGTTATGTACATGCTGATTCTAACCATCCACCTAACATAATAAACAATCTTCCAAAAAATATCGAGCTAAGATTGTCCGCCAACTCATCAAGTGAAGTTATTTTTAATAAGTCGACACATCTTTATGAAGACGCACTAAAGCAATCGGGATATGATTATAAGTTGGCATATAAACCAAGCTTAACAAATGTTACAAAAAATCACTACAAACGAAGTATAATCTGGTACAACCCTCCATTTAGTAAAAATGTTATAACCAAAATTGGTCAACGCTTTTTAACCCTAATTGACAAGCATTTTCTTAAAGACCACAACCTACACAAAATATTTAACAGAAACACAATTAAAATAAGCTACTCCTGCATGCCAAACATTAAACCTATCATCAACTCACACAACAAAAATATTTTATATGCTGATGTAAAGTTATCAGAAAAAGCCTGCAATTGCATTAAAAAATCTCATTGTCCACTGAACAACAATTGCTTGTCTAACAACATCGTTTACCAAGCCACCGTAGCACAGTGGTTCAAGATCCTTAAAAAGTGGCAAAAAATTGAAAAAAATTAAAGTCTTTATTTTGTAAACACAAATAACTTTTAATTATGGTAAGACCAGATGCATAACAATTTAAAATTTTTTTTGAAGCTATTGCAAGGTTGTGTATTAATTTGAAGCACTTTACTAATGCTTTTTTTATGACGGAAAAAAAACGGAAATGTTCGATAAAATAGTCAGTTTTAGATATTTATTTTATGGAGACATAGTAGTTAAAGTGTTAGTATTTTTTATTAATTTACTTAAATTGTGTCAATTCACAATGTAAATAAAAGATTTTTTTTTAAGTTTATTAGGTTTAAGCCATTACTCAGCATGAAGAAAAATATTAGTAAAAAATTTTTTTTTTATTAGTAACACATTATTTATGGTACAAGAACAAAAATGTTCCACATAACTCCACGCTTATGTTAGTGTTTTTGAGTACTGTCAGCAATATACTATTTAATGGAATAAAATTTACCTGCTCCAATTTGCTCCAATCTAAAATAGAGCTTTTATGATTTACTTGCTAAATATTATAATCAGCGAGTATATGATAAAAGGTTGGAGCAAATTGAAGAAAGTAAATTTTATTTAATTATTTTAAATATAAGCTCGTTTAAAAAAAGAGCATCAGCGTTACCTAATATTTTTAGTTAGTATATATATATATATATATATATATATATATATATATATAAATATATATATATATATATATATATATATATATATATATATATATATATATATATATATATATATGTATATATATATATATATATATATATATATGTATATATATATATATATATATAATATATATATATATATATATATATATATATATATATATATGTATATATATATATATATATATATATATATATATATATATATATATATATATATATATATATATATATATATATATATATATATATATATATATGTACAAATATTTTAAATTGTATATTACAAAATAGAGTGCTTAATGTTCTTAAAAAAGCATAGCTATAATAAATTAGTAGAAAATCACTTATTAAATTTTTTTCATTTTGATGAGTCTTTATTGATGAAACACAGTGTAAAATATAAAAAAATTTGATTAGTAATTTTTTACTAATTTATATATACATATGGATTTTCAAAATACTTGTAGCTATTAAGTTATAATGTAAATGACAATAAGATTGTTAAACTATTGATAACTTTTTGTGTGTTATGTAATAGATAATATATAAAAATGAAAAGAATTGATCTTCTTCAAAAAATTAAAGGACTAGGTTTCAATAAAGTTAATTTGCTGGAATCTTTGTTTAAAGAAGTTTTAAATGTTTATAATCTTCATGAAGATGACTTCAATGAATCAGAGCTTACCAACTTAAAGAATAAGTTGTCTGTTTTTAAAGCAAAAGCGGGAAATAAGTAAGAAAAGCATAATAGAAACTATGACAGATTGATTTTAAAAGAGGGTGTTTGGCTACAGGTAAAGAAACAATAATATTTCTTAATAAATTTTTTTTATGCACTCATTTTATTTAATTAAGTTTCTATTTACAGGAGGAGTTTTTTCCAGATCTTGTTAAAAGAATTAAATCTAAAGTATATATATATATATATATATAATAGTTAGTATATATATATATATATATATATATAAATATATATATATATATATATATATATATACTAACTAAAAATATTAGGTAACGCTGATGCTCTTTTTTTAAACGAGCTTATATTTAAAATAATTAAATAAAATTTACTTTCTTCAATTTGCTCCAACCTTTTATCATATACTCGCTGATTATAATATTTAGCAAGTAAATCATAAAAGCTCTATTTTAGATTGGAGCAAATTGGAGCAGGTAAATTTTAGGTATATATATTACTATATATATATATATATATATAGTAATATATATATATATATATATATATATATATATATATATATATATATATATATATATATATATATATATATATATATATATATATATATACATATATATATATATATATATATATATATATATATATATATATATATATATATATATATATATATATATGTTTATATATCGATTGATGTTAAATTTGTATTACAATAGTAATACAAAACTCTCTCTCTCTCTCTCTCTCTCTCTCTCTCTCTCTATATATATATATATATATATATATATATATATATATATATATATATATATATATATATATATATATAAATTGTTGGCTTTGAGAGTACATTCAACATTTCCGTGTTGTCATAAAGTTAAAACCATTAATTTAATCACTTTTTTAAAAACCGCAAAAACGCAAATTAAATTGACTAATAGAATGTATATATATATATATATATATATATATATATATATATATATATATATATATATATATATATATATTATATATATATATATATATATATATATATATATATAAATACTTAGAAAAATTGATTTTCATCTGCTGACATAATTTGGTTGAAATACCAACTGATAAAGATTTTAATTTTATTAATGAAATTCTTTTATTTTTAGAGCTCATCAAAGACATCAGTTACCATATTTTAATCTAATATAAGAAAATTAGCCAGCCGGCAAATAACGTTGAAATAACGTTGAAACATCGTTGAAACCTAACGTTGAATTAACGTTGATTTAACGTTTAGAATGAAAGTTTTTTTCAACGTTGATTTATCAACGTTAAATCAACGTTAGATTCAAACGTTATATCAACGTTGATTCGACGCGAAAAAACGTTACAACAACGTTGAATTTACGTTGATACAACGTTTAAAATGATAGTTTTTTGAACCTTGATTTATCAACGTTAAACGACTGTAAAACACTTTTTCACCATCAAAACGTGCTATGTGCGTCAAAATGTATGTATGTATGTAAACGTGCTATGTGCGTCAAAATATGATCACCATCAAAACGTACTATGCATGTACATTAGTGTTGCTGTGCATTATCAAGGTATATTATGGATATTAAATCTATTCATAGTCTATACTTAGACTATTTAGAACTTTTTTCAGTTTAGTTTAGTTAAAATAGCTAGGTATGATTCAAGAAAGAGATAAAACTTGTTTTATTCAAAAATACATATTCAAATATTACATATATTTACATATAATTGAATAAAATCTACACATATTTCTTCTCTTTTCCACCACCCTTTTGAAATAAAGCGTAATTTAGAAAGTCAAACAATATTCCATTAACCGAGGGTTCTTTTGGTTCATTGAATACAATAGAAGAAGCTGTAAATAAAAAAAATATATTAAAAAAAAAAAAAGGGAAGATTTAAAAAATAAATAATGAACAAAAAAGTGTTACAACTTATGAAGGTATATCTTTTTCAACGCCATATAGATTAGTGTTCTTAAAACATATTTTTCCACCTTTGCCCTTCATTTCCATGGAGGCCATATAACTTTTCGAAAATACTCTGAATTTTTAAAAAATAATATAACTGTTGGTTAGTTATTAATAACTTTTTCAAATATTTAATTTAAATAAAACAACCTTTTTAATATATTAAAAATAAATTAATAATCAAAATATAAAACATTTCTAGCATTGAGAAAATAATTTTCGGGGTGGCCACATAAAATTTTTATAAGAAATTTTATGTGGCCATTTATTAATGGTTTAACGCCCATGTTTATACACTTATGGGGCTTGGACAGGGATCAAATAATGTTATTTGTTATGTTAAATAGCATGCATTTTCTAAAGCAATTTTTTACAATTCCATGCACTTTAAGGCGTTAACCAGTTTTACAGACCGAGAATGGGTATTTTGAACATTATACATCCATCAAAAATTAAAAAAGGAAGAATTAATGAGGAGCTTTGATCAAATTTTTACCTCTTTAGAGGATAATAGAGGATTTTAGAAGCGGTTTTAAAAAAAGAGGACTTTAGAGGATTTTAGAGGAGCTGCAGACACCCTGATTATAAATGAGGTAATTCCACCAATTAACTGTAGTTAATTTATCTGTAAAAAAACATGAAGTAAATCTAATATTATGCTTGTGGATTTATATTATATTGTGGAGAACCATCCAAACCACACAAGTGGAAAATTTGCATCTAAGTTTCCACTTGTGTGCAAATTTTGCGTCCACTTGTCAAAAAAATAATAATTGTAATATATAGATGTAATACCTGAAGAGAATTTAGTTTTTATTTGTATAAACTTAAGCCAATTCTTCTTTGCATTTTATTGCAGTCAATCCAATTAGATGGAATTACTTCTTCTTGTAAATCTTCATTCCAAACAGCTCCTTTCCGCATAATCGATTTTGAAAAAACTACATGAACTAATATAAAATGAAGAAACCATAATATAAGTGTACTAACAGGCCTAATTAAACTAGCTAAATTAGAACCATGATACTTGCTAAACAATAGTATTAGTAGACATTATAAGCAAAGATAAGATTTTCTTTATTTTATAAATTTATTATATTTTAAACTCATTTTTATTAATTTATTTATTACTCTATTATTCAACAGAGTTCTGAATATATTATGCTCAAATAACTTAAGGCTCAATAACAAAGACAAATAATGAAAGAATACTAGGTTGCTAAAACATAAACATCTACATAAGATAATTATGGAATATTGAAAAAAAATAGAAATACAAAAAGCAAAAATACTCATTATTAATATAAAATATAATAGTATAATATAAGGTATATTATAATATGACACAATAATATCTACTTTTAATTAAAACATAAAAACAACAAAAATTAAAAAAGAAAATATTTTGATAAATAATAAATTATCATTCAAACAATTTTCAAGACCAAAAAATAACTTGTAACTTATTTTTTTACTTATCTTCATCTAATAAACATTACTTATTTTTTACTCATCTTCATCTAATAAACATTAATATTAATACCAATTTTAAACATTATTATAATTTTTTTTTCATCAAAAAATAAAAATATTACATCAGTTACTTTTTGGGCTTTTCTTATTTTACTTAAAACATCAACTCAATTCTAGGCTTTTTTCATAATAGAGTTTTTATTTGTAATGTTGAATTAACACTGAAAAAATATATATTAGCATACAAAAAGAAAATATTTCTTTATTGAAATATATGTAAATATTTCAATAAAGAAATTTTAGATTGATTTTTATAAATATAAATTTATATCAATCAACCTAAATTTTTTTCTTTTCTGCCACCTTTTCGAAATGAAGCGCATTTTTAGAAGTTAGACAAAATGCCATCAATTAAAGTTTCAGTCGCTCCATCGTATTTAATAGAAGAAGCTGTTAATAAAAAAGAATTAGAAAAAAAAAAAAAAAAAAACACAAGGAGAAATTTTTGAATATATAAAAAATGAGAATAAAAAAGTTTTACATATCTTACAAAGGTATACCTTTCACTACACCATATAAATTAGTGCTCTTAAAGCATATTTCCACCTTTCCCCTTCATATTCATGGAGGTCACAAAATTGTTGGAAAATATTCTAAATTTTAATAGATAAGAAAACTGATATTAATTATGAGAGAACTAATATTAATTTTTTTTTTAAAATTTAAATTGAACTCATTATCAAACAATTTTTTTGCTAAATAATTTAATCCTTAAAATTCCTGAATAATTTAAAATTATTTTGATTACCTCAGAATTTTAAAGATATTCCATCAATTGCAATTGATTCATCTAAAAAACAACAACAAGTAAAGCTAATACTATTGTTTGAAATTTTGATTATCTTTATACAAATACTCATCATATTTTTAAAGTGACTGATAAAAAAGGGATTTAATTAAAATCACTTCATTTGTATTAAAAAATTAATATTAAAGCCTTAATCATACATTATACAAGAGTATTTTGTAATACAATCTAAATAGTTGTTGCAATATGTAATTTTTTTTATCAGAAATTTAGCTTCTGTAAGCGTTAGAAATTTTTTAAAGAAATTATTGATGAATTTGGAGCTATGGGTACTTATGTTTTTATATTGTTGTAATGTTTGTATTCATTCCCTGTTAGTTTCTGTAAGTCAAAATTTTAAGGTGTTTCCATAATAAATTCTGTTATATCTGAAATTTAGTGTTAGTCTGAATAATTTAATTTCTAAAATCTGTTTTGCATTGCCTTTCTTATAACATCTTTACTTGGAACAAAAACCATGTGGTTTAAAAGTGAGCTAGAAGCTTTCAACAATGAAGAAAATATTGCATTCGCTAATCCTAAAAATATATTAAACCTGTCAGCAAAATCAGCTGTCAATAATCCAAGTATTAGCATCATTAAAAATTCATCTTTGCTGCATTACATTTATTTTGGTCCAAGTAGTTAAGGGTTTTTTTAAATTTCAAAAAACAGAAGTAAATGCTTTTTTAATATCACTTTATCTTTTTTGATTAATGGTGATACTGCACTAACTGATGAAACACATTGACAGATGTAAGGCCAGTATAAAAGTCGCAAGATCTATTATTTTTAAAATAAATGTTTGTATACAAGTAAATTGCAATAACACGATTTGTTTAGATTATGTTTATATACAAATTTGTCTGTTTTCATAGTAATAACTGATGTGGTTGAAGTTAGTTTTTCATATAAATCTTTATTTTCTTATTTCGTGCTGAAGTTCTTTTTTAAAGTTATCAATAATACAAAAAATTGTATTATATTTACATTTAATAATATCAGTCTTTGAGCATTGTAGCCCAAGTTAAACGAAAAATATCGATTTTTAAACGATAATGTTCTTTCAGAAAAATCGTCTGAACATTTTCTCAATCTCTTGAAAATTCTATATGTACAAGTTCAGTATTTACATTTTTTTTCCATTATAAATCTCTATAACTATTGAAATAACCGTTGAAATAATGTTTACGTTTTTACTTCCATTTCTGCGCGCGCATAAATTTTATATATTGTATTTTTTATGTATTTTTTGTCAACAATGATTGAAATAATGACGTTAAATAACGTTAAATAATCAACGTTTAAACTGTAACGTTGATTTAACGTTGAAATAACGTTAAATAATCAACGTTTAAACGGTGACGTTGATTTAACGTTGTGACATAGTTGAACAACGTTGAAACAACACTTCAACCGAATTTCAACGTTGAAACAACGTAATAATGCCGGCTGGGTTATGATGGCTGAAATTCATTATAAACTAACTTAGGTAAACATTTTGAATAGATAAAGCACTTAGAATTGGTTCAGATGTTTATGTTTGTATATTTTTAAATTAATATTTGTTCATTTTGCTAAAAAGTGATTGTTAATATTACAGTGAGTCCTTTTCTAAGATCATTAAGCTAAAAGCGCACGTGTTAATTTCAAAGATGTACGATCTCTTTAATAAGAAATTTTTAAATAGCGTAAATATCCAAGCTTGTCTACTAAGCTGCTGCTGAGATATGGAAATTTTACAGAAATTAAACTCAATTTGAGCGATGTTTTCCCAGATATGAAGTAGATGAGACTGTCTTTTTAGTGGAAAACATTTTTCATTCAACCTGCCGTGGTTATGGAATTATTTTTTGTAACAAGGTGATTTTAAAACAGTTTTTGCAAACTCAAAGTAAAGGTGGTTTTTGAAATTTTTTAGTATTTACTTGTTTTAAAAGTTTTCTTGTGTTAATTACACTTTTAACCTTTTTTTAAAGGAATTTCTATGACAGAAAAACAGTTCTTAAGTTGCTAGAATATTAGTTTTGATTTTCGCATGAAATGCAAAATCATAACTATTGAAACATATTTTATGTACCTTTCCGTATTACCTTACTTTAACCTTTAAATTTTTTCTTGTTTTCGTTTAACAAAATGTATATTACACACTGTTACAAATTACTTATGCGGCTTTAGCTATTTTTTAACTGAGGCAATGTAGTTTTTTTATTAGCAGATTTCAGTATGAACTCTTTTTTATTAATACTGTGGGTTTGGTATACCAAGCAATGATATATACAATAACAAGTAATACTAGAGGTGCTTTTAAAAGGGATATGGTGTGACACCCCCTCACCCCCAAAATCATCCAACGAAAGCTATTTTTAATTTGTAGTTGGTTTTTTAGGGATATAATTGGCATATGATAGATTTCGTTAGCAGGTTTTTAGTTTTAGAGATCTTTGTTTTTTAAAAAAAGCAGTCAACAGTTTTAAAGTTTTGCCCTCACGCCTATTTTACACGCCCACTTTGCACGCCCACTCTCTTTAATTTCAACCCTAGAAGCGCCCTTGCATAGGGGGCGTATACCATCCAGTTAATCAATTACACGTTTCAATTTTATTTATACATTCAGCAAAGTTGTTTTCTAACTTTTGATTGATAGATCGCACGATCATCATGACCAATCAAAAGTTAGAATAAAATAACGTAATTTTTTTTGACAAATATTAAAAGTAAACAAAAGTTGTTAATCGTCTGTTTGTCATATGAGTGTATGCATAAAAAAAATTTAGTTTCGTTTACCAAGCTCTTATTTTATTAACTTAGATGTAAATATTTGTCGAAATGACAATGTAAGTTTGTCTTTTCATGCCATAAAAAGGAAGTTTTATAAATTTCAAACAAATGATTAACTTTCACTATCAATGTTAAAATCATTTTAATATTCCTGAAGAATAAAAACGGAGGATCTCATTTCGTAAGGTTAAGCATGAGGTAAATTTTCAGATTTGTAACTTATGTTATTTAATAACAAAATGTAATTTAAAAGTTTGATTTTAGCTTTGTTTACATGTCGTATAATACAAGCTTAGAATCTAGAAGAACTTCTTCCGAAGAAAATCATACTGATTTTATCACCAGAATTATATAAAAACTAAATTATATAAACTATATAAATATAATACAAAATAGTTTAAATCAAAATAACAATCTAAATTAGTTTTAAAATCATAAATCGTTGAAATCTCAAAAAAGTTTACTATACATTTAACTTCTTTTTAAAAACTGGAACAGAGATTGAGAAATCTAAATTGGGCTGGACAATTTTATTATAAATATAAAGTGCTCAATATGTTATACAAAATTGATTAAACTTTTTTTGACAAAAGGTTTCGTTGAAATGGCTATTTTTTCGAAAAGTATACGGTAATTATTTGCTTTAAGGGTACATAGATTTTTTAAAACATTTAATAATGGGTTTTTCATTCAACATTACGTAAAAAAAAAAGGTATTATGAAGTTTAAATAAAAAAAAGTTTAAAGCATTCAATTTTTTGAATAAAGGTTTCGTGTTTGAATAGCAATTCGAAAAATATATTGCACATTAATTATACGCGCATTGCATGTTTCTAATGGTTATAAAGACGTTATAACTTTATCTGTACCTAAGCAATATTTACATTTTATATAGCTATGAATAAATGAGTAGTATAGTTGTTTTAAGTTATTTTTATTTAAATAATTTCTGGCCTTATATGGAATTTTGGTGCTTCCAATTTCAGTTTATATATAGTCAATACGAAGTTTCCATTAGAGGTGTATCGGATATTTTTGCCGGATATACCGGATAATGAAATTTTCTCAAGTTCTATTAATGTTTATGAAGCAAAAACAAGTTTTGTCATTCTACGTTAAATAGTGTTTAAAATTTAAAAAAATAAAATCAATAAAAAAAGTGACATAACACAGGTATATTTGTTATAATGCGTTATTATGCGTTATAATGCTTTAATAATGTATAAAGTAAAATCGTTTTTATAGCCAAAATTTTGTTTTTTTAATTACTATTTTCTATACTTTGTCAGCACATATACCATGTCAAATAGTTTTTTGCTTATTTTTTAAAGTAAGATCTTGAATACTATTTATTGTTGACTGGCAAGACTTTTTTTTTCTTCATAAACACTTATAGAACTTTAGAAAAGTTCACTATCCGGCATATCCGGCGAAAATATCCGGTACACCTCTAGTTTCCATGACTGATTTTCATCAAGATAAATAATGAAGAACTTAATAATGGTATCATCTTTAACTTCTACTCTGTCGATAAAAATTGAAGCAAAAAAAAGTTTTTCTTTTAAGAAATGGAAAAAAACTTATTGTGTTTCGTCAGTATTTTTAGTATAAATTTGTAAAAGTTTTTTATTCGTATCTAAAAAAAGTTGTCTGATGAAAATAAATTGGTATCGTGAGCAAACGTGATGCTAATAAAATCGGAAGCTTTCTTTAAATCATTAATATATACTAAAAAAAAAGAATTGGACCAAAGATAGAAACCAGTAGAAAACCACATTTTATTTTAATTAATATTTTCCTTTGAATACTAACCAAAAGCAGCTCATTCCCATGGCAAATGTAAATGTATACATATATGCATATACATAAATATATGCATGTATATACTTATATATATGTATGTATATATATGTATATATGTGAATATATATGTGTGCGTGTGTGTGTGTGTGTGTGTGTGTGTGTGTATAATATATACATTATATATAACAAATTTATGTCATTATATTATATTTGTAATATATACATTTTATAAAATATTGATATTTAAGGCTATTTTGTATTATCTTAATAAAAACAAAATAAAAGTCTTTGACGAATAAGAGTGCTCAATATTAAAAACTGTCCTCCAAAACATTAGCAACCAAATAAAATTAAAAAAATTTTCTACTTTGATTACTTATTACAGCAATTTTGATTTTTTATTTACGCTTTAAATGAAAAAAATTGTTAATGTCACATATAAGAAAAAAGATTTTAACATAATAAGACTACTTGAAAATAAATAAACATTTTTGTTTGTATTGGCATTTTAACGCAAAAACGTGGTCCTCTAAAACATTAGCAACTTTTTAAAAACTACCCTAAAAAATGTTAATATCAATAGTTAATGGCATATCCTTTACTTTTTAGGATCAAGGAACATCCTCTCGGAATAGACTTTACGAGTTATTTTTTTCTTTTTTAATCTCATTCCACGTGGTTTCAATAGCTTTATATAGCTCATCGGCGTTTTTGAAGGGTCATTTGTGTTTTAGGGAGAGTTCAACTTGGTACCATAAATTTTCAATCGGATTGATATCAGATGATTGAGCTGGCCATTTCATTACTTTAGTTTGATTTGTTTCAAACCATTCTTTAACGAGTTTAGAGGTGTGTTAGGGGTTGTTGTCTTGTTGAAATGTCCATAAAAGAGGCATATTATTATCAGATTAGGAACCACTTTTTCCTTAAGAATATGACAATAAACATACTAATCCATAATGCCATTTATTCTGTAAATAGGTCTAACTCCACTGAAACCAGAAAAACAACCTCAAACCATTGCCCTTTTTCCACCACCATGCTTGATTGTTTCTCTTGTGTATTTAGAATCCAAGCGTTTACCTTTAGTTCTACGTACCTTTAAATTTCTATCAAAACCTTTTAAATTATACTTTGATTCATCGCTCCAGAGTAATCTATTCCAATCATTTATAGTCCAGTCTCTATGAGAATTTGCAAACTCAATTCTAGCTTTTCTATTCTTCTGAGAAATGAAAGTTTTTTTTGCTTCTCTAAAGCTCAAAAGTCCTGAAAGTTGTAACCGTCTACAAACTGTATCTTGAGAAACGGAAAGTTTCAGTTTTTTAATAGGGGCCATCCATAAAGTACGTACACAGGTATGGGGAAACGGGTTCCCTAAGACCGTACGAACGCGCACAAAAAGGGAGAAGGTGTTAAAGACGGTGAGTACGTACGTGGTTTGACTATCCTAAACATGATTTTATTTTTTTTAAAAAACACTGAATTTCACGTGCATAACAAATCAGAATTGTGTTTTTTTTTTCTGACTTCAATTACAATTTTTTTTTTAGTTCTTTATGAATAATGAGAGAAAAAAAATTGAGTTAATTTTGAAAAAAGAAAAATGCGTACGTACGCGGAGGGGGGAGGTCTACGAAAGCGTACAGGTTCGTACAAGGGGGGAGGGGGAGTCATAAATCACTAATTTTACTGCGTACGTACTTTATGGATGCCCCCTCGTATTATTAGCGCTGTCAAAAGGATTTTTTTAACAGGACAAATAATTTTTCTATCGGTGAAATGACATGTTTTGGGTGGTCTTCCGCCCTTATGCTCTGTTTCTAAAGGACTATCTTTATTAAATCGTTTGATTATTCTACATACAATTGATTTGTTATTGGAGTATTTCGTTGCGATTTCCTTTTGTTTGACTCCTTTCTTGTAATCTTTTACAATACGTTCTCGAAAAGCTAAATACTATACTTGTTTCCTGTCATTATAATCCAAAACAGCAAATATACGCGATCTTAAATTAATATTGTAATAATTGCAACAATCCATATTCATCTCTGGACAAAAATTACTAATTAGTTGATTCTCATTGGTTAAGTACTAATAATTGCAACACTCATTCAACATTTCTGATTTATGTTTCTGATTACATTACATGATGTGTAATGACATTATACTGTACATTGTAATAAAAAACATGAAATAATTACAAACCGTGAGTTTTTGTGAGTAATTATAAAAAGTTGCTAATGTTTTGGAGGACCACGTTTTTACGTTAAAAGACCTATAAAAACAAAAAAACAAGTTTATTTATTTCCATGTAGTCTTATTATGTACATATTTTTTCTTATATGTATATTCTTATATATAATTAAGCGCTTTTTGTATTCAAAGCGTAATTAAAAAAATATTACTCAACTGGGTCAACATGGTCATCAATAATTTCTAAAACATCGGATTTTATTGACTTTTTGGCATTTAGGAAAATAGCTGCCATTGATTATTGCTAAAACAGCCTTTTAACTTCCACGATTTAAAAAAGCGCACTCGAACTTCTTTATTATTTATTTACTAGGTATTTTGCTTTTAGTTGTTGAAAGGAAGTGAATTTTGAAAACGCGTTTAAGTCTTACTTAGTTATATACCCAATGAAAAAGTAATTTTTAATTGTAACACAAAAATCTTCCCTATTTACCGAGTCACGGATGCGTGATTTTATCTATCTAAAAGTACGCCATTTAATTTATATATTTTATTATAATTACTACAATGGAATAGCGGTCATAACGCTTTTGTCACTTTTTAACTGTTTCCGAATAACTTACAGGGTCATTCATTTTTATATGCGCGTCTGTTCATTTTTATATGCGCGTCTATTTATTTTTATATGCGTGTTTATTCATTCGTATAAGCGCATTTATTCTTTCTTATGTGCGCATTTATTCATTCTTATATGCGTGTTTATTCATTCTTATATGCGCGTTCATATGCGAGTCAACCATCCATAAAATCTCTAATATGATTTAATATAAACAATAAATAGGCTTTTAAATTTTTATATAGATATATTAATATTAATTATAAATAATTAAATTAAATCTAGATAAATAAATAATTAGATAAATAATAATTTAATCCATCAAGAAATTTAATAATAAAATTAAACAAACATCTAATACTAAATTAAATAAACCATCATCGAATGTAAAAAGTCTTTGTCCTAAGTATTTTTAATCTGGTTTACTAAGAAATTAGAAAATTTGTTTTAAAAAAATAAATTGTTTTTTTCAAAACAAATTGCTTAAATGATTTTTTTTTTGTTCAAACTGCTTTTTTAAAACGCATATAAAAATAAATAATTTTTTTAAAAAAATTTAAATTGTTTTTTCAAAGCGCATATAAGAATGAACAAACACGCATGTAAAGGGCCATCCATAAAGGACGTCACCATTTTTTAGCCAATTTTTGACCCCCTTCCCCTCCCCCTCTTCCCCTCTCTTTGTATTTGCAATTATGATTACAACACCAGGCTAAAAAATTTAAATAATACAACATAAAAAGGTTTAAATACTACAAACATCATGACAGCAAAACTTGTGCAGATGCTATCGAGTATTTTAAAATAGCTAATAGAATATATTCAGTAAATGTTTTTTAAAATTCTTCTGTCATGATGTTTGTAAAATTTAAACCTTTTAAAGTTCTATTATTTAAACTTTTTCACCTGGCGTTGTAATCATAATTACAAATACTCGATACCAATTTAGGAGCAACTAAACAACTTTTTCAAGATCAATATCGTATTGATAATGTAGATTTCTGGTTTGAACAACATGTGGTCTGATGTAACTTAATTATATTAAATATATTTTAATTTTAATAAAGGTATTTTGATAATAAAGATATTTAACTGAGCTTGATATCAAGCTCAGTGAATCAATATGTCTGAACTAACGTCCTAATTTGTGGACACAAATTAAGAATTAAAGTAGAATTTGTTAAGAGCTATGAATTTATAAGTATTTTCTTTAAAAATAAATTGGCATTTAAGTGAAACAACCTCCCAGACTATTAGTCAAGTCCTCCAAATTTATTAGTCAAGAATGTAATAAGTTTCAAGAAAAAATGTTTGATATAGTTTGGTTTATATTTTACAATGATATAAATCCAAATACAAATAATGAAAACTGGCTGGTTCAACCTTTGTTACAAATAGCCAAATTCGTTTGAATACACCTAAAAAGAACAAGTGCATTTAGTCCGATGCAAAGTGATTTACAGATTTTACTACATCAAACATAAAAAAAGACTTAGTTTTATCTAACTTTCTGGATATACGTTAGTATCAAACTTTTCATCTAAACGTAAAGTACAATAAAAATGTAAAAAATTTGTAACACATTGCTCACATTTAAGGTAACTACTATGATCTTATATTTGCAGAACTTTAGATACAAATGGTAAAAAATGTTGACGCTTTTACACAACATATTTTAATTTTCAAAAGGCGTTTTAAAACCTTTTTTTAATAACCTATTTTTAAGTGTGTAGTAAAATTACTGATTTCAAACCCCATTAATTTCAAACCCCAATTTACTACACCCCATTTCCTTTTTATGCAATTGTATGATTTCAACAAGTTCTTCTGTTGCCTATGTACACATTATTTATTAAAAAAACTAAACGTTGCCATATAAAATTGCAAAATATTTGAAAAAAAATTAAAAATATATATTAAAACTAGACTTAATTCCAAAACTTATTTTCTGTACTTGAAGGAAACTAAAGAGATCAGATGACATCCAGTTAAAAAAAACAACCAAAGAAAATGAATTTAATAAATCCATTTTTCTTTTGGAAACAAAATTCAGGACTTGATTAAATATTATGCTTTTAGGGTGAAAAGTTAATTTAGTTGATTTTAAATTATTTATTGCAAAGTTGATTAATTTTTATTTAACAATTGAACTTTGTTCAATTTGAAATTCGGAATGAATTAGTGGTCTTAAACAAATTTCTTGTGAGTAAATTATATATGCTTGAAAGTAAAGTAAAAAAATTTGGAAGCAGAGAAAGCTCAGTTATGAAATACCTTTCAAATTGATAAACATATATTTTTAAATCAAAAAATGTTTATTTCTAATCACGAAATATATTTTAAATGGTAAAAATTATTTCAAATCGATAAATATACTTCAAATCGCGAAATTTTAAATCCAGAAATATCTTTCAAATCACAAATTTTATTTTTAATTCAGAAATGTTTTTCAAATCGCAATATTTTCAAATTGTCAAGTTATTAATATTTTTTATTAATATTTTTTATTAATACAAAGTTAATTTTTTTTAAGTTAATATTTTTTATTAATACAAAGTTATTAATATTTTCAAATTGTCAAAAAAAATTTATAAAGGTGGCGTCATGTTTTATAAAGATGGCGTCATATTGTGCCTCATGTGGGAAGCTAATCTTAATCCTGAGGACAGTTTCTGTACGTTCTGTGGAAACAAAAAAGATAAAAGAAAAAAAGAGGAAACAAATAATCGCATAAATGAAAAACGTTCTCTCAACGAATTTCAAAAATATAAAAATGTTGAGAGAATATCTAGGTTCTAAGAAAATATCTTTTGCAACAACAATTTACAATGACTCTCTAAATAATCATTATCGAGAATGTTACGTTAGTTAATTGTTGGTATTATGATAAAAAATGGTAAAGATGAAATTAACATCATGAGGGGGAACAAATTGCTTATACATGTTTTAATGCTTAAACATGCTTTAATGCATTTTATACATGTTTTAATGTATTGAGCAGCCGTGGCGCAGTGGTAGCGCACTTGCCTCAGAAACGTAAGATCCGTGGCTCAAACCCCACCTCTGGGCAAGTTTTGCGACATCGGTTGGGAAGAAGGCGTGAACTTCCTATTAAATGCTCTTCCGCGGTGCTCAGTGATAAGACCGTAAGGACTTCTTAAGGCATCTTAATCAACTTTAAAAAAAAAAAAAATGCAAAGCTGGTCTTTGAAACCACATGTAGAAAACATGCAAATCATAACAAGTATTTTTAATCTAAAAAATAAAGAAACCAGTAATTTAAAAATTAATAACTCTATTTTGGATTTAGATTTTCAACATTACGATAAAGATTTTATCGTGATCTATTGAAAACAGTCAATCATTTTCTTATTTTACAAACAGCCAGTCAGTCGAGTTCAAGGATCACCTCAATGACGTATAAATATAACTTAGACTCGAAATGTCAAAAAATGTTACCTCGAACTTATTCAAGGAATAAAAGAACAAAAAAAAAATTTGTTAAAAGGCTTTAAAAATTTACTGGTTTTGATTAATGCATACTTTTAAAAAAACTTTTAGGTTTTCTACTGTTAAAATATAATTTTAATATTGTAAATTTTCATGATTTGAAATTTGCTTTATTCGTTATTATAAGTGCCTCAAGACAGTCGCAGATTGAGGTTTAGTGTCGCGGGTGGGCAGAGTCAATAAATAGGGGGCGACCAGGGTTGAGTGTGGTATTTTTTTTTTCAAGTTGATTTAGGTGCCCCAAGAAATCCTTACGGTCTTATCACAGAGCACCGCGGAAAAGCATTTAATAGGAAGTTCACGCCTCTTTCCCAACCGATGTCGCAAAACTTGCCCAGAGGTAGGTTTGAACCACGGATCTTATGTTTCTGAGGCAATTGCGCTACCACTGCGTCACGGCTGCTTTATACCCCAGAAATTATTTTCATCACTAAAACATTTTATAAGTGTTTTTATGTGACTTTTATTATACATATTACATACATATGACACTAAATAACCTAACTTTTTTTTAGTTTCTTTTGTTTATTTTAGTTAACAATTATCTTTTATATAAAAAAAATTTAATATTATTGAAATAGTTTGCTCATTTAAAAATGTATATAACTAGACATATTGCAAAATTTAGCATTTAGAAAAAAATTCACTTTTCAGGTAGTTTACACAAATTCTGCAAGATTTCATTGAAGCAAAACGGTTTATCGACAAGTCAAAGTTAATGTTTTCAGTAAGCTCACGTTCAATTGAAATTAATGCTGATCCAGAAAGACGTTTCCCGACGGGCATTTGTTTTTAAAAGTTACGATCTAAATGTATTTTAAATGTCTTTTAAACGTCTTTTAAACAATAATGTTTAAAAGACGTTTAAAAGACGTTTAAAACACATTTAGAACGTAACTTTTAAAAACAAATGCCCGTCGGGTTTTTTGTCATTGTTAATCTAAAATAATCTTTTGTAATCTTTAGTTCACTAAAACTTTTTTCAGGATTAGCAGATGTAACAGGAAGAGTCAAGTAGATTTTGTTAAGTATTGACAAGCTAGGGAGACCGGGTGCTATCTGTTTCTTGATCAAGAACTGAAATATATCTTTCAATTGAAAGTCAGTTGTCAGTGATAGGGATATTGATGAATACACATACAAGTCTCATACTCTACGACTGCTTCTTCAGTATTTACGCCGTTACAATAAATTTGACATAATTTCTTTATTGAATTTATATTTTCTTCAGATAATTTTGACGGATCAACGCAATCAAAATGTGTAACTGTGTAACTAAAGTCGTGAAATCGTATGAATTTGGGTTATAATTATATCCAAAACATTGAAGTAGGTTTCAAATTTTAGTCGTGTAGTTGAATCATCGACTTTTTTGTCTCTCTACAGCTCTCCTGCTATGCGTTTCTTTTTGGCATGATGTTAGGTTAACTGAATTTAAGGAAAGACTTTAAATTCTTTAAATTCAGTTTCTACATCTAATTCGGCACATTTTTAACCAATAAAATGATTTGACTGCTAAATGTAGGACTTCGAAAGCTTCGTTGTTTCTCATATCTACAAACTTATTTTTTGTAACATCAATCAACTGTTTTGCAAATAAATCATCTATATCTTCTCGTTGGAAATAGTTAGATAACACAAAAAAATTAACTAACAACTTTGGCAAAAAATAACATTAGAAAAACAAATGAACGTTTTTTTTAATAAAACTGATAGTCCAATAGCTTCTGCTCTAACATTACCTGTCTTTAGATTCTCCTAGATTAGCAGAAGAAAGATTCAACATTAGCATCAACTGCATGCTTCTTATAGGAGGCATGAGCAAATATACTTGCTCATCTTGTATCAGAAAGTTGTTTCAGAGTGTCTACTGTTGATTCATATAGATGTTTCTGGTGCTCTTGGAGAATATAAAGTTGAGGTAAAGTAGAAGTATGGTACGTATTCAATTTTTCAGCTGTACCTAAAAACACCTGGACATTGCTGTTTACAGACGATGGTCACCAAATTTGTTTTTTTTTATTTATTTGAGTTTTATTTATGTATATATGTATATATATATATATATAAATATATATATATATATATATATATATATATATATATATATATATATATATATATATATATATATATATATATATATACATATATATATATATATATATTTTTTTATATTTATTTGAGTTTTCATGCTATATTTTTCTATACAATCTTCTTATAACTAAAGATATTATTGGCTTAGCATAGGAACAGCCACAATTAGTCTAAAAAAGAAATATATATATATATATATATATATATATATATATATATATATATATATATTTATTTATATATGTATATATATGTATATATATATATATATATATATATATATATATATATATATATATATATTTATGTATATATGTACATATATATATATATATTTTTTTATTTATTTATTTATTTGAGTTTTCATGCTATATTTTTCTATACAAACTTCTTATATCCAAAGATATTGTTGACTTAGCATAGAAACAGCCACAAATAGTCAAAAAGAAATATCCCACCACATTATATATATATATATATATATATATATATATATATATATATATATATATATATATATATAGCTCAGATGGTTAGAGCGTTAAAGAAAAAGTGAATATATATATATATATATATATATATATATATATATATTATATATATATATATATATATATATATATATATATATATATATATATATATATATATATATATATATATATATATATATATATATATATATATATATATATATATGTATATATATTATGTGGCGGGATAACTCAGATGGTTAGAGCGTTAAAGGAAAAATGAAAACCCGGACAGTTGAACGATAATAGTTCAAATCCCGCCACCGCCAACTAAGCGCTTGAGTAGTACTTCGGTACGCAAAAATGTTGGTCATTAACGGACGCCACTTTGAATTATTCTTAATGACTATTTGTGGCTGTTCCTATGCTAAGCCAACAATATCTTCAGATATAAGAAGATTATATAGAAAAATATAGCATGAAAACTCAAATTAAAACATAAAAATGACTAATATATTTCAAATTTTTGTATTGTTTTATTTTATTTGAGACTTTAATTATGTTTGAAATATTAATGATATTGGAGATCCGTTAAATGTTTAAGGTTATTGAGGCAGTGGCGGATTTAGTATAGGGCGTGGGGGGAGGGTGAGTTGCCTCCCCCCTTTATTCCCCTAGAATGATCAAACTGCGCCCCCTAAAACATTCACAAAGAAAAAATTATAAATTAAAGTTACCAATGAAGAATAAAATGAAAAGAGTAATAATAAATACAAATGGAAAGAGAGAAAGAGGAATTATTTTCAAACAGTGTTTTTTAAATATTTTTTTTCGAAACATTGATATTAAACTCTAAAATAAGAAACATTGATATTAAACTGTGCAGAGGACAAGCATATGATGGTGCTTATGTAATGTTTGGAATTAAAAGTGGTCTTTAAATTCGAATAAAAGCGCTATCACAAAATGCTATCTATATTCATTATTTTGCTCATGTTTTAAATTTGGTGACCATCGTCTGTAAACAGCAATGTCCAGGTGTTTTTAGGTACAGCTGAAAAATTGAATACGTACCATACTTCTACTTTACCTCAACTTTATATTCTCCAAGAGCACCAGAAACATCTATATGAATCAACAGTAGACACTCTGAAACAACTTTCTGATACAAGATGAGCAAGTATATTTGCTCATGCCTCCTATAAAAAGCATGCAGTTGATGCTAATGTTGAATCTTTCTTCTGCTAATCTAGGAGAATCTAAAGACAGGTAATGTTAGAGCAGAAGCTATTGGACTATCAGTTTTATTAAAAAAAACGTTCATTTGTTTTTCTAATGTTATTTTTTGCCAAAGTTGTTAGTTAATTTTTTTGTGTTATCTAACTATTTCCAACGAGAAGATATAGATGATTTATTTGCAAAACAGTTGATTGATGTTACAAAAAATAAGTTTGTAGATATGAGAAACAACGAAGCTTTCGAAGTCCTACATTTAGCAGTCAAATCATTTTATTATTTAAAAATGTGCCGAATTAGATGTAGAAACTGAATTTAAAGAATTTAAAGTCTTTCCTTAAATTCAGTTAACCTAACATCATGCCAAAAAGAAACGCATAGCAGGAGAGCTGTAGAGAGACGAAAAAGTCGATGATCCAACTACACGACTAAAATTTGAAACCTACTTCAATGTTTTGGATATAATTATAACCCAAATACATACGATTTCACGACTTTAGTTACACAGTTACACATTTTGATTGCGTTGATCCGTCAAAATTATCTGAAGAAAATATAAATTCAATAAAGAAATTATGTCAAATTTATTGTAACGGCGTAAATACTGAAGAAGCAGTCGTAGAGTATGAGACTTTCAAAAATGTGTATTCATCAATATCCCTATCACTGACAACTGACTTTCAATTGAAAGATATATTTCAGTTCTTGATTAAGAAACAGATAGCACCCGGTCTCCCTAGCTTGTCAATACTTAACAAAATCTACTTGACTCTTCCTGTTACATCTGCTAATGCTGAAAAAATGTATATATATATATGCTATATATTGAAAATATATTGAAAATAAATGGTATATTTGTAAGGCGAAATCATATGATATTTTTAAAAATGATAAATATATTATATAAAAATAAATATTTTAGACTTAACAGCAAAAAAAATGAAGTTTGTTAATTTAAAAAAAATTACATTTGTCACAATTTTTTTTGACAATATTTTTTTCAATAAATTTTGTATAATATAATTAACATTTTTCAAAATTTTATACAACATCGCTTTATTTGAAATCCAACATGATACACTTTTAAAAAATTTATTTTTAATAAATTTAGGAACTTGTTATATGTTCAAGGTTCTTGAAGGAACCCTAAAAATATTTTTATTACAAAATTTTTTTAAACCAGTGTTTTTTTAATATCTATCTATATATATATATATATATATATATATATATATATATATATATATATATATATATATATATATATATATATATATATATATATCTGAATCATTTTTAAAATCATGTTAACTCGAGATACATCTTGATTAAAAGATTTAAATAATTGCTCTCAATATGCATCTTCTAAAAATTACAAATCAAGATATCTTGTAAAAATCAGATTTGATTCATGGTTCCAGAATTGTGCAGCAATGTTATATAACCTTTATGCATAGTTTGATTTAATGACTCATCAAAACGATACTACAGAAAAAAAAAGTGAGAGCAATATTTCTTTATATAACAAATTAAGAAAGTATACAGCAATGCCAAATATTAAAATATATCCACAATTTGTTCAACCCAGCTAAATTTTGTAATATTACCATCAGAAAACATTGATATAAATAGTAAATTTAGTCCTTCACATGATCTTTAAAAAGATTTTAATAAAGTGAGTTTAGTCCTTCACATGATCTTTAAAAAGATTTTTATAAAGCGACGTAAAATACCCATCTACTTTCAGCAGTTATTACTTGTTCATTTATAAAACCAATGTCTTAGAAGTTGGCTTTTCAATAATCTGAATTGTACTAGTTTTTAAAGGTGATGAAATAATTGATTTTAAAAAATAATTGCATAATAAACTTATTACAGGATGCAATAATTTATATTTTTTACTTTTTAATGCATTTTCATCCATATTTCTAACATTAATATTAGAAATAAAATGTTATTCCTGTTGTACTGTAGAGTGCATGCATTCATTGCAAGAAAATGTTTTAACTCAAAAAGCAATTTCACAACCATAGAATTATGGAGAAGTCACTGTATAAAACAGGCTTTATTACTTTGTACGGGCTCCTCGAACTTTTAGAACAACCTCTTTTATTCGCGACATTGAGGTAACAAAAAACTCAATACTAGATCGTTATTCTAGGACATTACACATCTCTACTCAAAGTAGTGAGATTAGATTCTGTTTAGAATCTTCTGTATCTAATTTTACCCACAGTATTCGGTAGGATTTAAATAAGGTGACCTACCCAGCATCGGTGGGTAGGTCACCACCGATGCTGGGTAGGTCACCTTATTTAAATCATCATAGAAACAATAAAAGAATTTAATACTTCATATGCAGTGTTTATTTGTTTGACAATTACTTTATATATATATATATATATATATATATATATATATATATATATATATATATATATATATATATATATATATATATATGTATATATATATATATATATATATATATATATATATATATATATATATATATATATATATATATATATATATGTATATATATATATATATATATATATATATATGTATATATATATATATATATATATATATATGTATATATATATATATGTGTGTATATATATATATATATATATATATATATATATATATATATATATATATATATACATATATATATATATATATATATATATATATATATATATATATATATATATATACATATATAAAGAGGCGGTTCTACGAATAAAATGAAGGGGTAAACCCTCAAAGAGTACTGATTCCATTGAAAGGATAAGACAGTCGTTAATGGCGATCATGTCCCATGGTAGCTCTTAGATAGTTCTTAACGAGAGCTAACTTGCTCAAACCTCTCTCGTCTTCAGCCACAAGTATTGGCAAAGTAAGAAAGATAAGAAAACAGATGCATGTATTAGGGAAATTTTCTTCAAATGCCTTCACATAAATGCTATTAAGAAGATCTAAGAGCAAATTAATTTTCAGTAAATGGCGTCGAGCAGACGAAAAGTGGCGGAACTCATCAATAAACTCCTCTTCACTATGATCATTTGGATTCAGAAGTACAAGATCTTTAATTTTAGATTCTTGACTGTTTGTTAAGTCCAAATTGATGTAAGACGTAGACCAGATAAAGGAAAATAGTCTATGTTGCTGTTTCAGAGCTTGAAATCTCTCTGTAATCAAATGGATGAAGGTATCTAATCCAGAGTTGAATGCGTCAACTTCAAATGCGTTGTTAGGTTTGTTGTGAAATGTTTTTATTATCTTTCTTCTTTTTTAAACAAAATCAGTTTTGAAACCAAAGTTATAAGCTACTTCTTTTGACTCGTCCAAGATGGCATCCCAGGAGAAATGAATTCGCATTAAATCTTCAATCAATCCCTCTATAAATTTAATCTCGCCATCCAAGGTGATGCTGCAAGATTGAAGAAGGATGATAGCATTGTTCACAACTGTTAAAGTTTTGTACTAAAAGGTAGTAAAAATGACAAACTCAAAAGACTTTATTAGCTCGAGAAGAGAACGCACTTTATTTAAAAGGTCAGCAGTGAGATCCATTTCTTTCAGTTTTTTCAACGTTTTGATTATCTCTCGGTCTCTTTGAAAGTGGCTTTATAGATTCAGTTTGAGCGCTCTATCTTGTCTGTGAAATTTGGTGTAAAGAAAGGCTAGGAAGATCCTGAAAAATTTTCAAACGTGTGAGGTTTTTGCTGAAAACATTGTATAAAAGCTGGACATTTGCAAAGTATGACTTAGCCAGAACAGATGATTCCACAGCGTGAACCCCACATAAATTGAGATTATGAGCAGCACACGGTAGATAGACTGCTTGTGAACTCTTCTGTTTAATAAGGCTTATAACTCCCTTATAGGTTCCAGCCATATTTGAACCATTATCGTATCCTTGACTTCGACAATTTTTTATGTCAAGTCCGTTTTCATGTAGAACAGTAAGGATTAGATTAGCAATATCGACTCCTGCCTTTTTCTCCATTTCTTCTAGTTTTAAAAATTGGTACTGTTGCTCCCACTGCCGTTCCTCACTAAGGCGAAGGAAACAAAAATAGAAGCAGATCTGTTCACTATGTGAACGGTCCGGCGTTCCGTCAGTTATGACAGTGAAGTAGATGGCCTGAAGTATTTCTTTCACAGCATCAATTTTCACCAATTTCCCACACTCTCTAAGAAACTCATTTTGCGAACGCGAAGATAAATAGTGGGCCTGTGTAGCTTACCTTCTTTTTCTTTTTCAGTAACTGCTTTCAAGTTATCCGCAAGTGTCTTGTTGTGTTCAGCAACCAATTCTAAAGCGCCAATAAAATTGCCGTGTCCATGATAAACATTGTGATTAGATTCTATTTATAGAATATTAAATTTTAATTAATAAAAGTTGAAAAAAGACTGAAAAAAGACTATAATAATTTTTAAAATATTAAAATACCTTTGAATGGGAGATTTCTTGATGCAAGGAATGAGGTAACTTGAATGATGCAACGGAAAATATCTTTCCAGCGCTCAGTTTCTTTTGCAATAACTTTCTCTAGGCTTGAATCAATCCCTATATGGTTGCGCATGTTGTTTAGTGCTGTTTTCCATTCTTAATACGTTTGAAGATGGAGGCTACACAATTGATAAGACCTAATTTTTCTAACTAGTTTCCACCAATTGTCTTTGATACCACCTCTCTAAAATAACAACAACGACATGTTGTACTTATGTGGGTCAGAAGGCGATCCAAAAAAGAACAAGAGAAGCAGAAAAGGGCGGGTGCCGAATCATTCCATACAAGCCAGTCTTATTCGAGTTTCTCTCCATTTTGTATCACTTCAGTGAATACTGATATAGGAGAGATGTGGTTTCTTGAATCCCTTGGAAAGTCTGCATGACTTAAAGGAGGGCTTATCAAAACGATGGTATCTCTATCTTTATTTGGTAAAGAAGTCCAAAAAGCTGGGTCATTAGATATGTGATAGGTTAAAATGGCTGGAGTAGAATTCATCTTGTCTATGTCACGGTCTTCATTATCCCCTTCTTCAAATGTTTATAAATAAAAATGAAAACATAAAACATCTTTTAAATAATAGAACTTTTTTTTGAATTATAGAAGAATGTTATACCTGCAGAAATGTCATTGTTTTTTATAAGGATTGCTCGATAGTCCTTAGTAGCTTCGGTTAGCTTAGCCTGCTTAGTTTCACTGTCGGTTACCGCATACATCTCTTAGTCTTTACTTAAACGATTATCAGAAGGGCTAACTTGGCTCTGGCGCACAGAGCTAATGATATAATATATATAAAAGTATATAATATATAAAATGACTTATAATGATATAATATATATAAAAGTATATAATATATAAAAGTATTTAATATATAAAATGACTAATATATAAAATGATACCCTTTTTTTTACTGTTATTTTTTACAACTAGCTCCTATCCATCTTCAAGAGTCTGCTTGTTTTTTTCTTCAGCAGCTTTTTTTACTCTCCTCTTTTTTCGTCCTGCAGCGCCTGATGGCTGCTTTCTGATTGGTTTTCATTTCATATTTAACGCACAAAACTATAGGAAAGAGTTCTATTTATGTAGTGTAATAGTCGCTGTAGCAATTTCTACATGAAAAATTCTCTTAGGAAAATAATTTGTAATATTCATTTCAATTAACCAATCACAATTAAAGATTGCACCATAAACAATCCTCTTTCAACTATTATTTGTAAAACTCTCTTTGACTATCAATCATAATTGCAAACTATTTCCTTGGAGATTAATTCCGCACGAATGGAATAAAATCCATAACGTTAAACTTAACTTACTTATTAAAGTTGATAGGAGAAACTACGACCAGTTTAAATTATATAATTAGTTGTAATAAATTATTAAATATACGGAAATTAAAGTTTAAGTAAAAATCGTTAAAAAAGTTAAAAAAATGTTTGTACTATTCTTTTTCCTATTGTTCACGATAACTTTACATGTTTAGAGTTTTCTTGCATGGTTTAAAGAGCTATTCAGAGGGAAATCATAGAACGTTAACACTGATTTCTAAAGAAAAGAAAAACACGTGGTCTCTAAATAGAGAGTCATCTACAGTAAAAATGGTCTTATGTATCAGTAATGGGTTTAATCAGATTGAATCGAAACAAAAGCAAAAACCGAAACATAATAACAAAGTAAACATTATTCATTAGATGTTCTCAATTTTTTATTTGGCATACTGCTAATTTTTTTTGTCATTTGATGATGCCCCCATAAACGTGATGCCCGGGGGTAACCAATCTGGATCCCCCGCCCTCTGTGCGCCCTGTATGTATATACACACAATATTTACACCCATTTCTTAAAGAAAATTTGGATAAAATATCATTATTGTAACACATTCACTGATAAGGACTAATAAACAAATTAATATTGAAAACACATTCTTTTTTTTGCTTTTTCACTAGAAAAAAATTGTTATTACTAATATGTCATCTTACGATCGAGTTGTATCCAATTCATTTTTCAAAATGTATGTTCGATAGACGTCCTTATATCTCTTGTTTTATAGTGGCCCTACAATCATTTTTTTAAACCAAATTTAGTTTACTTTAAGGTCATTCACCTTCTGCGACAGCTGCTCGCGTGAATAATGAAGACTATTTCAAACTATTAAGTTACAAAATATTTTACATAAAGTTATCTTATATTTTAAAACTACTGATTCTGATACTGATATGATATAAATATATACATATATATACACATATATATGCATATATATATGTATATATATGTATATATATATATATATATACATATGTATATATATACATGTATATATATATATGTATATATATATATATATATATATATATATGTATATATATATATATATATATATATATATATATATATATATATATATGAAATTTTATATAAATACATTATTTATACATAAATACAGATATTGTTTTAGACATAATCATTGTCAATGATAATTTTTTATGTGTATATGTGTGTGTGTGTATGTATATATATATATATATATATATATATATATATATATATATATATATATATATATATAAAATTTATATACATACAATAATGCTTATATATATAATGTTTATATATATATATATATATATATATATATATATATATATATATATATATATATATATATATATATATATATATATATATATATATATATATATATATATATATATAGGCCCGCAGCAACCGGATGGGCAGCATGTGCATTTGCCCCCAATAATTTTTCAAATAAATAATTTTGAAGAAATTGACTGAAAAAATGACTTAAAAAAAAGGTCCTTAACACTATTTCGGGGAGTACTGCCCCTTCCCCCCCAATATAATTTTTGTTCCTACGGCCCTTATATATAATAATGTTATATAAAATAATGTTTAAATATTTATATTAATGATATACATTTTAATATTGATATTTAAGTTAACATTATATATGTTGTAGTTTATAGATTTACATTAATATTTATAGCGGTGTTTTCTAATTATTTCGATTGGATTTAATATGAAAGTTTTAGTTAGTAAAGACTTTTTTGTAACTTTTAAGTTACAAAAACATATTTACAATTTTTTACCAGGTTTACAAAATAGTTAAACTAGTATTTCGTATTATTTTTAAATCTATTTTTTCTTAACTCAATCTTGTGAGTTTGTTCATTAAAATGTTTAGAAGGTTAAAGAAAATATGAGCAAAGAAATTGTTTATTTACTGTCAAAATTTACCAACAAAATAATAATGATATAGTTAATTTGAAGATGATTTAATACCGATGTAATTTTGAAAACAAAGTGCACATTGATAACAAAGTAAACACCGATAGCAATATGATATCCAATACCAATGCAATCAAAGATAGCAATATAAATACCAATGTCAATTGAAGATTAAATTTTGATTGCCAATAGCAATAAGATATCAAACAGCAATCTTAATACCGCGATTGGCTGTTACAGTTTATAAACCGAAAAATATTAAAAACGTTGAATAGTGCAGTTTATATGTCGATAAGCTCTTTAGGTTTATAGAGCAAGATAATGATTGACAGACTTAAAAGATTGCAAATCATATTAATCAGGTAAACAAGATAAAGGAAGCGGATTCCAAAGAACTGATGTTCGAGGAAAAAAAACTAGACGAATAATGTTTGGAACACTTAGGAACAGCCTCAGTAAAAGGATGAGATTTATTTGAATGACGAGTAACACGAGAATGACCTTTAGTTGATGGCACATGAAATACTAGCTCTTTAGAGGGATAAAGATTACTAAATCTGTCCAACAACTTCCGTGAAGTAGTGAAATAACATCGCACAAGATTAGCCGCTTTTTTTCGTTAGTGAATTAACATCTCTCCAACAACATTCGAAAATTCATTGATGTCTAATAACATCTTTAAAAAGATAACTACATCCGAGAGTTTTTCTCGATGTGTGACTACATCCACCTAAAGAATTTTATTGATTTTACATCCACCTAAAGAATTCTATTGATTTTAATAACGAACAGACATAAATAACATCATGAATTGTTTTCAAAAATTCATTTAATCTGATTTAGTTACATTCATATACTCTACGCTTGTGCTTATAAGTCAGTTTAATTGGTCTATATTTCAGAAATTGCTATAATGTCGGCCATTTTAGTCCCGTTAAACGTTTACATCAATTTAGAAACTTGAATGCTTCTGATAAGAAATAAAAATTACCAATGAAGAGTTTTATCTCAATAAATGTTATTTAGTTACATAAAAGAAATATACCAATAGTGTAGCAGTAAAAAAGCACATTAAAACCAATGCCAATCAACAATTACCGTATCAATATGCAAGTTTGGATTACATAACAACAAATAAGAAGACATGTTTTATTTCCATTAGTTAGCTGCTATTTAAAATTTTTTATCTATGTATAAATTTATACATGTTCTCCGCAACAAAAGAAGATTTTCATTACAAAACTAAATCATCTCATAATCAAAACTGATTCAGTCATGACCGTAAATCTTCTTTTTGGTCATCGAGACATAACTTACATATAATGATATCAATACAAAACTTTAATACGTTAATGTAAAATAAAATATACTTAGTTATATACTTTAGCTTAAAAGTTACAGTTGTGAAAATATTATAACTTCTCCATAATGAGGAGGTTTACTTAACAACTATAATTTTTTAGCACCCATACATTTTTAATAAAGCTAAAATTTTATTTAAAAATTTAGTTGAAATGTAAGTTTGAGCATGGAAGTATAATACAGAAGGAAGTTCATCAGGCGGTAAACATCAATGCAATTTCAAGTCTTGCCGGGAGTATGCTCGTAACCGACAATAAAAAAAAAAAGTTTTACTGGACAAAAAAAAACAAAAATTCACTGAAATGATTTTTATCAAAACATCAAAAAATGTATATTCCATAGATATGCCACTTCGTTTTAACCATTACTTGTTATAATTATCTAACAGAACCTTAATTACAACTTGGTAAATATTTAGAATCACTATATTTCAAAAGCGTATATTAGTAAAAGCAGATTTTCTTGTTTTTAATCATAACATGACATTTGATTAAATAGACTACTTAACAAATTTTTAAAAAATTAAAAAAATTGTTCTGTAAATAACTAAAGATTATAGTTTCGTTGGGTTTATATCATAACTCCATTCATGCTAAATATACTCCATTCATTTAACATAAAGTTTGACAAAATATAGCTCGTTGCCGTTTCGTTGTCGCCATTTTTAATTTTTGCAATTGAATATTGTTGGCGAACCGTCAAAGTACTTATTTTAAAATTTTAATAAACGTATCTATTTGCGTCATCGTATAAAAATTAAGCGTTTAAGTACAGTCTTGATGTAGTTTTCTTTTGTTTGCGAAACAAAAGGTTACAAGCATAGTCCCGAAGATTTTCAAAGCGGTTGAACTTCCATCTGTTTTATACTTCCATGGTTTGAGTAAGTAGTGCTTAATTTTGTTACCAAGCTCCAACAAATCATTATCTTTAAGGAACATTTATTTTACATTACGATTACACAAATGTTTGGTATCTATCCATTGTTGCAAGTTACTTAACCATCAAAAACAAATTTTTGTTGAAGAATTCAGCTGTGACTGCTCTAAATTTGTGTAAAGTATCTTCATTTTACACTAACACATAACAACAACGTTTAACACCGACAACATAACAAAAACATTTTATACCAACAACATAACAACACCACTTTAGACAAACAACATAAAAACACCATTTTGAATCAACAACACAACAACATATATACAAACAACAAAACCAAATACATAAAAACACCACTTTAAACCAACAATACAACAACACTTTACACTAATAACATAACATTACTTT